CTGAGACAGCTTCTATTAAGACATATCATACTGCAAGTTTATTTCTTTAGAGATCAGTTAGGTCACTGTTCTAATCATTTTTTAAAATTTATTTATAATCAGGAACCTTAGCCATCAGTCTAAGATGATGACATTAGGAACTTACATGTTAAAGAATTTTGAAGAACAAATTCTAGTCTGTTAAATATGAACAATTACATCAGAATTTGTCATGACTTCATATTCAACACACTAAATTAAAATTATATTTTTAATTTTGATATACATATCCACAAAAAATAAGATGTACAACAAACAATCATTAAACAAACGTGGAATTGTGGCACAAATACTATGATGTCAGATCAGTTACAACGATAATAAACAACTGATTAAGGTACTTCTAGAATGATGCTATTTTTTTGTAGTAATACAAGTAGGAGATTCTGGCAACCTAAAATAATTTCATTCATTACAAAAATCTGTGATTTTTTAAACACGATAAATGTAACATTTAAAAATTATGTTTGCAGCCCTACTTATATTTCTACCCAGTAAGAATTACACATCATTTTATGACATTTAATGGTACTTTATTATAGAACTGATAAGCACATAAACTACTCTATTTATCTACATATTGAGACAGGAACTTGCCAAATGTGGTAGGAAACCACAGTCCTTTCAAGGTATGAGACAAATGAGTTGTGTAACATGTGTGTTTGTCAGTGTGCATATATATCATGAGAGCATGCGGACAACATGTATAGAGTGGAAAACCAAAATCCCAAAACAAACAAAATGAGCGATAGAGCGAGCGTAATTGTTAGTGACTGGATTACCTCATGGCTACGCTCACAACGTGCTAGGTGGAATATTCACAGGTAGAATTTGCGTTTCCTGCAATGACATAAAGCGAATCAAGCTTTGGATTGGTGGGTCGAGAAGAAGCAATATTCAATGTCATATTTATGGTGTATATGTTATATTGAAAGCATATTAAAAATTCAATTTAAAAATAAATTCTCTGGACACTTTTAAATGTTTCTGCAATAAAGTTATCTTAAAAATTAATTAACAAATTAATTGATAGGCAGCTTAATTACAGTGAAATATTATTTGTGATTAATGAACACTGAAATAAATTGTTGATGATAATGTAAATTTCATTGGTTAAATAATTTTGAGACTATGAATTATAAGGCATTACATATATCTTAATTCTTTGCACTTCTGAGATAACTATGCCATATCACATACTATGTACTGATAGTTAAGGCTGAAACCTCATATCTGACGTTTTAACAGAAGGCTGTTTTCAATATCACCTGGCTAAATATAAATTTTATCTATGTGTGGAGGCACATGTAACTATAAAGAATGATGCTAATACCATTATCTTTAAGAAACTGGTTTTGTTTCAGTTACAACCTCCCAGTTATTTATCAGTATCATGTTGCATCATTTGTTTAAGACTTGTTGGTTTCCAAATGCAATACTTATTGATTTTAATCCTTCATGGATACACTCTCAAAAATTAAACTGAGAGCAATACCATTACATGTGACATGAAGTGTTTGAAGTAATGCATATAAGTGCAATTTTGGTCTTATTGTTGCAGTTTCCCATAAGCAGGGAAATATGCTCTTATCTTAATTAATGTTGACCATACTTTCCCATCTTATACTATATAGTTCAACATATTACTAGAAAAATCCATGTTTTAAAATTATGCAAGTTTTTATCTCCTACACTTTATTCCTACTGTACAGTAATATATTTTATCACAAACAGTGCAACTTTTATGAGTACTATCACACTCTAATTTCCGTGGCGTAACAGCCCTCTGAGAGCAAAAGCCGACTAGCTGGCTGCTGGCCTCACGTTCACATGCCTAAGCAGAGGTGAACGATCATCCAACCAGATATAAGGTGACATGTGGTCAGCATGACGAACCCCCAGCCATTGCTAATTTTCATGACTGGACACTTAAATTTACAGGGCAGTAAAATGGAAAGTAACACCAGTACCAGTCAATAGGGGAACCTCAGTTGTAAAAGTACTACTACAATACTTGTCCTGATTACACAAACTGTAATATTTTGTGACATTTTACTGATTAGTTCTTGTATTCCATTCTGCAAGTTTCAATAATAACTAATTTTGTGATCTATTAAATTGCTCTTCTTGACTTTTCATATCACCTATACTACCAAATTATAAAAATTAAATTTAAAAAGCAGGATCCAGCTTTAAGAATGTTGACAATTTGTAATTTATACTTCAGATGATGAATAAAGTCAAAAAAGACAAATTTAATAAAATATAACCATACACAGAAACCTCCAAACTTAAACCAATTTTGTGATACTTAACCTCTTACTTCATAACTGCACAGAAAGAGCAGTAACAGACTAGGCACAGCATAGAAACCTCAGAAGTCTATTAAATACGGACAGAAAATGTGTACCTATATGCTGCAGGCTAAACTTATTTAATAATTTTATTAATTTCATAAAAAATTAAAAGATCATCTTAGTATTACAGTCCTCAGAATATGACACTTTTAAATTTTCTTTAAACATTCTATTAAGCAATATATATATATATAACTACAGTAATTAAGAATGCAAATGAAAGCTTAAATTTAGCATATTAATGTACTTTACATCAGTTGAACTTTTCCCTGCTAATAAATAAAGAAACAATCTAATTCCCTGATATAATTATGCCACAATTTTCAGTGGAAGAGTTTTTAACAGAATGTACCATTACTAATGACTCACAGCCTGGAATATTACAAAGATCATAAAATAATTAAACAAAACAAAACAAAACAAGAAAAGAAATGGTTACAATAATATAAGTTCTATAACTAAAACTATAATAAAAATTGTGCAATTAGGTGAGAATGGGGGGAAGGGGAAATAAATAGAACTGAAAAAAGTTACAAGAGTAATGCTTATAAACATATGTGGGGTGTAGATGATGGGCTTATAATTATGGAACAGCTGTTTTCTTACACAGAACAGATAACCATGCAGTTTATCTCAGCACAATGCATCTGCAATCCAAAGAGTTTACAATGCTACAATACAAACCGTCTACTCAAGAACATCTAAACAGATGGTATTGAATATCTCAAAGATGGCAGTATGTTTCAGTGACAGACAGAAATCAGTGTTGTCAATACTGGGTCATAGTAGGTGGATCTGTTTTCAGAGACTTTACAACACAGATGCCTTACTATCGTTCTGTTCCCTAGAATTACGTGAAATGTATTATAAGGGCACCAAACCCATGCCAAAAAATGGTTTCAAACATTGATATCAAATTTTGATTGGTAAAATATATTTACTTGTACTTTTTCCTATATATCTGTAACTGGTATAGCACTGGAGTAAATTTGAATAAGAGTAGCTCAGTCACTATAGTCCAGACTGGCTCAAGTGCCCATGCAGCCTCATATCCAATGGGTACTGGGAATCCCTTCCCTGGGGGTAAAGCATGGTTCAGGCACGATGCTGACCACTAAACACCCACAAAATGCCTAGGACATGGATGAGCCCTTCTCTCCACACAAAAGTGCCTCTATGGTATGTATGGCATGGGACAGCTTTACATTACTTTATTTTACATTTGAACACCAGCTTTTTGAATGTTTCTGTGTGGGAAAGGTATGTTCTGTTCAGTATGAAGGTATTATTATTAGCATAGCAGCAACTAATACATGAGTCATGGTGGTCCAGGGGTAGCACACTGGCCTTTTGTGCAGAAAATTTAGGGTTCGAGACCAGCTAGATCCAGTGCGGGGGTTTTCACATGTGTTTTCATAACTACACCTCTAACAAAATCAAAATTTTGTGAATGGGAGATAGGCAAATCCCCATAATATTTCAAATCATACATTAAGCTGTAGGTCCTGTCATTATTATCACCCCCTCATTGGGACTGAAATTTAAATCTGCCATATTAATGTTCACACCTAAAATACGGATTCCTGCTTCTTACAGGCCAGGAAACTCAAAAGGGAATTCCCAGCTTTCTCCTATGAGCTTATATATTGATTAGATAACTGAAAAAGAATTGCCAAGATCAGTTTAATAAATGTTTTCTTAAATTTGTATGTCATCGTCAAACACATCAATGTACAGGGCAGTGATATCTATATGAAAGGGTTCATGATTTAAATGTTGGGACAGTTTGCAAAATAAATACCAACCATATTTCAAGATGTCCATAAAGCAAGAACAGTAGATCATTCTGCAGGAATTCATAACTGATACTGCATGTCTCTCTCATACTCACACACACACACACAGTAAATCCTTCGCGAAGTGAAAATACATGCAAATATTTTTATTTTGTCATATAAGTTATTATACAGCTGTGTTATGTCTTACTGACTACAGCCCCATTCTGAAAATAGATTCATATTTGAGTTCTACTGAATATACTTAAATAACAAACAAACAAATACATGTATTGTTTAATGGTCTCTGGGCTGAAATCTGAACCTATTACCTCCCATATATGAAGAATATGAGAAGTGTTAACCACTCAACTGTGATGTTCAGTAACTGAGTTTTAATTTTTTATAAACTATGGTAAGGAAATGTGAATTAGTTTTCTTAATTAACACAATGAATTGGTAGGATGTAAAGAAAGTAAAAAATTAATTGCTAAGTGATGACAATTTAATAATTATATAACCTCAGTTAATTCAGTACTGATGTAAGGTGAAAGATAAAGAAATTATAAGTCGGAGGATGATGAAGTCCTAAAGGAAATATTCTCACATTCATGCATTAAGAATTCAACATGACACATATGAGGACAGGCACAGGTTCCTAGAGCTAAACAACCAATGGTCTTGCCCTTATAGGTCTAAGAGCCTGTGATGATCATTCAGTTATCTCTTTAAATACATAAACCAGAAATGTGATACAGGTGTAAATGTTAAGAGCTCAAACTTATTATTTCCTCAAACCAATCAACACAAAGAAATATAATAATGATACCTCTGTGATTCGCTGCAGGCTGCTGATTCAAGGCGATAATGTCTATCTGCTTCTGTTTCAGACATACGGATGTCTTCAGAGCCACTTGGACTCATGTGACGGGCAGAGTGGTGTTCCAGTTGACGAATGAGGTCCTCCAAGTTGCGGATGCGTATTGGACCACAAGATGGAGGCACTTCATCATCATCATCTTCCTCTTGCTGAGCACCATGGTGGTGAAGTAATGACCCTGTTCCTTCAACCAGGACTGTATGTGTCTGTGGTCCATCACACACTTTCTCTTGACTCCCAGAGCGTTTGTAATCACTGTAGCTGCCTCCACTACTGCACTCAGCTTCATGGAACATCATTGAATGAAAATTATTTAAGAGGAACTTGTATTCATATGGACTGTTTACATGTATTGTCATTTATACAATATTTTAAGGCAACAACTCTAGACTGTGGTAAGAAAACTCAATGAGATTAAAACCATTTTAAAACTTGATTTATCAAATTTGTGTCTGCAAACCATTATCATAAATGTTACTAATTTCAGCCACAGCTTCTTTAATATCCATGACAACACAAGCAATATGCCAGGAAAGCTCATTCAATAAAATAACTGGCTGCAGGCTGGATGTGAGGTTTGATACTTATCATAGGTACAAATTTTCCTTTGACATCATGTCCAGATTGGCTCTGGGGATAACCAATCCTCCAACACAATAGTCAACAGGTACATAGTTTTCTTCTCCAGTAGCACAGTGGCCAGAGTATAAATCATACCACTCAACTGCATCCAATGCCAAGATCTAATAGAATGCATACTGCTCTCTTCTTC